CTCCCACTTATTACTGAGAACATATGGTTCTTGTTTTTTCATACCTGAGATACTTAGGATAATGGTCTCCAGTTCCATCCCAGTTGCTGCAAAAGGCATTATTTCATTCCCAAACAGACCAATAATGAGCAGCAAGATTGAAGCAGTAATAAAAAATCTCCCAACAAAAAAAAAAGCACCAGACCAGACAAATTCACAACCAAATTCTACCAGACCTACAAAGAAGAACTGTTACCTGTCCTGCAGAAATTATTCCATAATATTGAAAAGGAGGGAATTCTCCCTAACTCATTCTATAAAGCCAGTATCACCTTGATACTAAAGCCAGGAAGGGGCACAACAACAACAAAAAAAAACTACAGACCAATTTCCCTTATGAATATAGATGCAGAAATCTTGAGAAAAACGCTAACAAACCAAATTCAACAGCATGTCAAAAAGATAACTCACCATGATCAAGTGGATTTCATGCAAAGATGGTTCAACATATGCAAATCAATAAACGTGATTCACCACATAAACAGAAGCAAAAACAAAGACCATATGATCATCTCAAAAGATGTAGAAAAAGCATTCGATAAAATCTACCACCCTTGTATGATAAAATCCCTCAACAAACTAGGCATAGAGGGAACTTTCCTCAAAATTATAAAAGCCATGTATGACAGACCCAAAGCCAACATCATACTGAATGGGGAAAAGTTGAAAGCATTCCCCCTAAGAACTGGACAAGACAAGGGTGCCCACTGTCACCACTTCTATTCAACATAGTACTGAAAGTCCTAGCCAGAGCAATCAGGCAAGAGAAAGAAATAAAGGGCATCCAAAATGGGAAACAGGAGGTCAAACTATTCCTGTTTGCTGACAATATGATCTTGTATTGGGCAGATGGGAGGGAGGAGGAGGGGATGGGTAACTTAACACCTAATGGGTACAGTGCGCACTGTCTGGGGGATGGGCACGCTTGTAACTTTGACTCGGGTGGTGCAAAGGCAATTTATGTGACCAAAGCATTTGTACCCCTGTAATATTCTGAAATGAAAAAAAAAAAAGAAAACCCTAAAGACTCCTAGAATTGATAAATAAATTCAGCAAATCTCAGGTTGCAAAATCAATGTATACAATCATTAGCATTTCTATACACAATAATAGTCAAGCTAAGAGTCAAATCAAGGACTCAATACCATTTACAATAGCTACAAAGAAAATAAAATACTTAGGAATATACTTAACCAAGGAGCCAAAAGATCTCTACAAGGAGAACTGCAACACACTGATGAAGGAAATCATGGATGACACAAACAAATAGAAAAACATCCCTTGCTCATGGATTGCTAGAGTCAACATTGTTAAAATGTCCATACTGCCCAAAGTGATTTATAGACTCAATACAATCCTCATCAAATACCAATATCGCATTTCACAGATCTAGAAAAAATAATTCTAAACTTCATTTGGAACCAAAAAGAGCCCAATAAGATTTCTTTGGCTAAAGGAATCTTAAGCAAAATGAATGATTTATAATCTAATTCTTCGCTTATTGGATCATCTCTCTGTACCTATACTCGAGCTCTCTAAAATTGAGATATTAAACCAAAGAGAGGTGTAAAAATGGGAAAGAAACCCAAGAGTATATTGGGAGATGATGTGGAAGGGCAGACAGAGGGCAGATCACTAGATACTAGAACTTTACAGATTATGCTGTAAGACTTTGGCTTTGTAGTCAGTGGAAAGCATTCTGCAAAGGAGAACTGCCCTTACATTCCTGTTAGAATGACTAGAGAGGGATAAATCTAAAAGGAAGGAGATGAGAGCCAATTAGTAAAGGCTAGAGGAGAAATGAGATTAGACCTAGGGCAGTGACAGTGATAATGGCAAGGATTTGAAGATTTTAGAGATATTTAGAAATAGACATTTTTAGGAAATAAAATCTACAGCATTTGGTGACTGAGTAGCCGGTAGGGCTGAAGCAAAAAGGAATTTCTGCTTTGGGAAACTTAGTGGATGGTGTTGCCATTACCCTCGAGAAAGAATTTGGAGGAAAAGGATTAAGGAATTGAGGGGAAGGGACAGGGAGTGTGTTCACTTTGTGACATGTTAGGATTGAGGTGGAGATACCAGTAGGTAGGATTGGATGTTACCTTGTACGGAAACATTTGCCTTCGTGAGGAAGAATCAAAAATACAATTGGAGAAAAGAAAGTAATATGGAGTTAGTTAAGTTTCTTGTTGTGTTCAGTTGTGCCTTGCACATAGTAGGTTCTTTATTTGGTGAAGGAGTGAAGTGGTGTTCATTAGTAGCAAGTTTCAGTGAGCTATTTTTCTGGAATTTTTGTGACTTGGAATGGAGACATAAATTTTATAGGATTAAAAGGGAACTTGGAAGGTAGTTATAAAGTAGTTTTTATCTATCTAGATAAAAATGTTATTGAGACCATTTCAGAAAGGGGACTAGTCAGCATTCTTATAAATATAGTCAAAGCAGAGAGTATACAATTTAATTTGGCAACAGTTCTTTAAATTACTATGATTGTTCCAGAAATAGAGAAAATATTTGATTGCTCGACCATCTCTTGGACAATGTGAGGTTAATAAATTAAGCTCTATTTTATAGCAGTAAGTATTGGACTTGCTCTTAGTTTATCACAATTTTATGTAGATATGAGAAACCTAGAAAAATTTGGTAGTATAACAGAGTATAGAAATTTTAAAGATAGTGAACTATTTCTTTCCAGATGAACTTCAGGATAGATTTATCTCTTTGTGTATGTTTTTCTAAGCATAGCTTCCATGCATATTGAAGATGCAGGATTGGTTAGTGAAACAGGTTTTAATAGGGATTTCTAAAATACAAAAAGAAATAAAAGTTTTTATTCATTTTTTTCAAGTTTTCAGAAATGTAGCCAGTCCTAGGATTTGTTTCTACCTAAGTGTTTTTCTTTTAAAATTTTTGATACCTGGTCAAATTTATAATCAGAAAGTAAGTAAGGTTATGGCCCCAGGATCAGTTCCTTCTCTGGAGCATCTGCTCTGAAGAATGGTATAGCATCTGATTCATTTAGTCTCTCAAATAATATTTAACTGCCTACTGTGTTCAAGACCGGGTAGGTTAAATGTAGTAGTAACTATAATATAAATATACCATGAAGCAGTGCTATTTTCATGCAATTTCTCATTCTTCATTTGTAACTATTGTCTTACACTAGTGCTAAACCTTTTCTGTTTATGATTCACTGAAAAACAAGTTCTTTGTCAAAGAAATACTTTCTTTAAAAAATAAGAAATCCGTCTTAAGTCACATAAATCTAATCTAGGATCCTTCTACTATAAAGTTAACTGTCTTGATTTTTGTTTTTTTTAAGATAAAATTAGCTAAAGTAGGGCCAAAAAATTTCCCTGATTTGTTCCTTTTTACATTTGACATTAACGTTCTGGCATTTCATTCTCCCTGTTGATCTTGAACTAAATTCCCTGAGAACTATAATTGTTACAAGGCTTGCCACTCAGGCATGTCATGAAGAATACCCATTTCTGCCAAAATAGTTATAGTTATTAAATTCCTCAGTGATAAATTTTTGTTTCGTAACTCTATATTAAATTTTGGCACGTAGTAAGACAACACAGTCTAACAAAGAAGAATCTAGATGTTAGATTCAGATAGATTTGGATTTAAATTCAGGCTCTGCTGGTTACTAATTAGGTGACCTTAGGTGAATTATGCAATCTGTGTGATCCTCATTTTACTCTTTTGTGAAATGAGGATGTTACCTACTTCATGACATTAGGTAAGGATTTAAAGGGATAAAGAAAAAAAGTGCCTGTAAAGAATTGGTCATGTAGAAAATTCAGTAAGTGGTATTGTTCTGAAAAAAATATTATCAGCCAGTTGCTTCTGCCTACTTTACCCCAACTCATTGACACCAGTGGAACTATCCAGTGGCCAAGGGCCTATCAGTGCTAGACATTTCATACACACCATTGGCTATAAATCTCTTTCTTTCATATTCCCAATTAAATTGGTCCTGTTACTTAATGTTCTTGTCTTCTTTTCTTTCCCCAGGAAAACGGGCCTTACTATACACCATATCCCCCATCACCAGATTTGTGACCTGCCATCTTTCAGTGCTTCTTGATTCCAAGGATGCCACTTCCTCCACAAATTGCTACCTGTTGAAGTGATATTCATTTTTGTTGTACAGATCCAGAGAGTCTTTTGTCCCTACCTCTCTGGTATTTTTTTATTGACTGTGTATTTTCTGGCACACAAGCAATCTAAAAATGGTAGGCCATTCTGAACTGCACACATTTTAAATTTGTATATTTGTATCAAATGGAAATGTTCATTTTTAGATTGTTAATAGAAATTGGGGAGCAACTTTTGAGTATCTTCAGTTTGCTGAAGGACACTGAATTCTCCATTAGACAAGCAACTGGTATTGTTCACGTCATCTCTTTAACTCTGCACGCTTCCTTTGTGTACTTAAGTGTTTTTCGAAATATATAGAACCAATGTATGCTGACCGGATGCATTGTTTGCTTCAGATCCTGGTGTTAATGCCATTTACATTTTATACAGATAATTTGGTTATGATAAAAGAGAATTGTCCAGGACCAACAATGTGGAGATGTGTCTGATAAAAAAAAAAAAAAAAAAATCAAATCATTAGTAAAATATAGGACTTGAAATTTTGATGTACAAGTTAAGACTAAAGTTTAAGGACTAAGGTTCCTTGGATTATATAATTTGTTAAGATTGCCACTATTCTAATCTCAAAAGTGTGGAGAAACAAGACTGTATCTTCAGCCTCTTTCCTATAATCATGGGTGATTGGGTCTCCTTATTCAAGCACATACCTTAAGGGAAAAACATCTCCCAAGACTCCATCAGTGAACCTTAAGAGAATACGTTGTCTTCCCAGAGGCGTGAATGACTTTGTTTGGCTCTTAGGACTACCACCCAAAGGACATTTCATAGCAGTGTCTCTTGAGTTGGCTGCATCAATATGGAGGAAGTATGTTGCAGTGAACAAATCCAGGGACCTGATAATTGGCAAAAGACCACTTTTGCCACTCAGGCTCTATTTGTGCCTTAGCTTGCTGATGAGTAAAAATTAGAATTATGCTGCCTACCTCACAGAGGTATCATGAGGATAGCATTTAGAAAGGGCTTTGATGTCTTTGAATGAAAAATGCTAAGGGAGTTTGTGTGGTAGAGTGTCTTCAGTTTTTAAATGAGAATAAATATATATGAGGGAATGCTACAAAGTACTCTTCTTGTCCTTGGCACCTTTTGAGTGATTTTTCTTTTGGGGGCACAATACCCGTTAGTGCAAAATCCCAGCCCTGATGACCTCTTCCTTGCTTTGTCCACAATTTCTTCTGGCCGGCTCCTGCCTTCCCTGCTCCACCATGCCACACTTTCATGAGAGGCATCTGTTAGTCATTTTAAATGTTTTTCTTGAATTAAGGTCAAACCATTATCATTTTCATCTGAGTGTCTTCATGTTCCTTTTGATTCTACACCACCCCCCATCTTCCTCACCCCATCATACACATTGGCAGTTCAGAGAAAAAAAACGGAGAACCCTTCTATTCTAATGTGCTCAGGATCAGTGTGTCCAAGGGTCCCATTCCCCTTTGCCCAAACTAATTTTTCATTGGATATAAAAGAAACATGCTTCTCTTCATTTAGGACAGGGAGATCCTCCTATGGTTGTGTTAACCCTGTCCTATGTAAACAAGAAGGGGCTTTACATTTCTTAGATAAGGATTCTTATCTTTTGCATGTATTGGACACATTTGCTTTGGTTCAGACATCAAGCCACTTCTTATATTAATATATACTTCCATGTAAGGACTTCCTGTTACGTTCCCTAGGTCATCAGGTCCAGGCAGCCAGTCACATGTCAGGCATTAAACTTCTTCTCAAACAGTACTCCTTTAATCCTTTGAGCTTTGAGCCTTAAAAATCTGAAACGTTAACTTCATCTTCTACAATCATTAGATCATATTGAGTTATCTTCTTCAGTAGGTGCAGCTATAAAAATATGCCAGCTTTTCCTTGTTAAAGCTGAACGTGGTTACCTCAAATTGGCATCTGGCCTGAACCTTTTCCTCTATAAATGATAGGGGCTACAAGCTACTTAGCCATTTGAAAGGAAACAAATCTATATGTACAAGTTCTTACAGGCAATAATTTTTGAAAAGATGTTCCTTTGCTGTATTCATACCAGTATAGTAATGTTTAGTAACACAAGCAGAATTAACAAAAGATAAGGATCACTCTTCTCAGTGAAACTAAATTTGGGATGGGGCTGGGTATGGTGGCTCACGCCTGTAATCCTAGCACTTTGGGAGGCCAAGTCAGGAGGATTGCTTGAGATCAGAAGTTTGTGACCAGCCTAAGCAAGAGCAAGACCCCATCTCTTAAAAAAAAAAAAAGTATCTGGGTGTGGTGGCACGCACCTGTAGTCCCAGCTGTTCGGGACGCTGAGGCAGGAGGACCACTTGAGCCCAGGAGTTTGAGGTTGCAGTGAGCCATGGTGATGCCACTGTATACTAGCCCAGGTGACAGAGAACCTGTTCAAAAAAAATTGGTATGGGGCCAAGTTCATTCTTTTATAGTTGTCTGCAGTGTTATGTAATGAAGTTGCTTCAGTGTACTAAATCTTAGAGGGGAAACATAGAGACCTGGATATTAAAATGATTAAGTAGCATAAATATGTATCTGCCTCTGTGAAAAGGTTGGGTAGCCTGAATAACACATGCCATTTTCAAGGAGATGTTAGAGGATACAGGGGTGCCTGGGTAGAGATGACCGCTACCATCTGATGTTAATTCAAAACACCACAGAGTTCTTAACTTAATTATACTTTGGTCATGCCAAATGCTAGTTGAATTACTGAAGACATAAGTTACAAAATTTTAATTCATTATTTAATTCATGCAAGGCATAATACGATTTTTTAAAACAAGGACATTCCTTGCTTCTGCATATGCTTGGATTCTTCTTAATTCATCTGTATCCAATTTTCTTGATAGTAAAAATTACCTCTTGAAAAAAGCTCATTCTTTATTAGACTCTTAAGGACAAGTGTTCATATTTTAAAGATTTTCTTTCTTTTAATATATATTTTATTTCATGGGCTAATGCCTTATAGTTCCCTTTTCAAAGGAATCCATCTATAATATTTCAAAAGTAATTAGAGGATTTTTAAAGTATTTTTGGTAGGAAAAAATGTAGATTTTTGATCAAATTTCTGAAGTCTAAAAATAATGAAATGTCTTTTTTAAAAGAGGAATAAGTATAGTTACTCTAGTAGAAAAACATGGCTTGCCTATTTTGTCCTGTTTTATATTTTCTTGGGTGTTGTTTAATGAATTCAAACTGTAGGTAACGGTTTAGTATTTTCTTTGTAATAGTTAAACTATTACAAAGTTAGTGATACTATCACAAAGAAAAGTGATAAAATGAAGTATTCAGCATAAGCTAAAAATCACTCTTTGTGTGCCCCTGACACATTGTCTCTATATGTATATAGAGTTTAAATTGCTTAATATATAAACAGAATTATTAGAATTTAAAGTACTTGATAGAGAAGAATTATATGGTTCTAGGAACAGTGCATTGATTGTAGTAAGGGCCAAAAGAATTACAGGATAACCTATAAACACCTGGAAAATGAGTTAGATTCTCAGTTTCCAATTGTGGTTTTCTTAAGTTATAATCATCATAACATATACTAGAGTATTTTAGCTGTACAGGCACTAATGCAGCCTCATGGAATATGAGTGACTCTTGGTTTGCACTTGCCTAGGACCATGAAGCATAAAAGGATGATTCTACTTTGCCTTAATTGCTTTAGGTAAATACCATAAACTGGGTGGTTTAAACAACAGACATTTATTTCTCACAGTTTTGGAGGCTAAGTCCCAAGATCAAAGTGCCAGCCAATTCGGTTCCTGGTGAGGGCCCTCTTCCTGGTTTGCAGATGGCCTCCCTCTCACCGTATCCTCACTTGGCAGAGTGAGGTCATCACTCTCCTGTCTCTTCTTATAAAGGCACTAATCCCATTGATGAGAGCTCCACACTCATGACATAATTACCACCGAAAGGCCCTATCTCCAAATACCATTACATTGGGGATTAGGGCTTCACCATAAGGATTTGAGCAGAAAAGGAACACAAACATTCAGTCCATAGTATACCTATGATCTAGGTCATATTATCAGCTCAGAAATGATAAGGATTGTCTAGTAGGCCTAGCCATATATACTTACATACACACACACACACACACACACACATGTAATCTGCTTTGCTTTACATTTTTTGTGTGACTTCTGTGGCCCATATGTAAAGAACATACAGCAATAAATAACATAGTGCAAGTTTTAATTGTTACTGAACTAGCCCTTAGATGGTATCAAGATCACCTTAGATATTAGTGTCTGTCTTGGATATTAGTTGTTAACTTTATTTTCTACAGTTCTAAGAATAGCATCTTTGAATCTTTTTAATTACAGCATGTATAGGGCCACTGGGTTCAAGAAGAAAAGCATAGATATTCTCTAGGTGAATTACACTAACAAAATCATAACTGCTGAATGTGATATTTTTGTTGAACGGTAAAACTAATACATTTTGTACACACGATCACTTTTTTTTACAATTGTTAGTGTAAGCACACAATCATCATAAACTAAGCCAGGACTTTGTTAGACCGGATCTTGTTAGATAAAATATTTAAGAGTTTAACATATAGAAATGATTTTAATTGCTGTTAGGCAAAGGAGACCTGAAAATGTTTTAATTGACAGATCTTAAAATTTGTTT